GTGTTGTATATATGTGTGTATATGACATACTCATATTGTATATAATGGCATGAGTGCCTGTGGTCTGTGTATATCGTGTTATCACTACATATGGTTTATGTTTGATATGTATCTTACAACACCATTACAATGGATAATGTTGGGTGTGCACGCTATTACTTGATTTGACTAGTATTGGAGTTTTAACTCCTGAACTATAAACATCTTTCCTGAAATTATTGTAACGATATGCGTTTTATTTATTAGTAAGGATTTTGCAGAATCTTTCGCTGTAATTGACCGTTAAGAACTCTCGGACACCTGTGGGCACATTGGCCTCTGCTTTTTGTCGCGAAAGGTTCAATAGTGATTCCAGGTTGTTGAATGACCACACCTTGCTCGCAGACAAGAGAAAGGGAATGGAGACGCAGGGGTATATAGCCACACCTGCAGAGGGTTTCAGCCAGAGTCCTTGAGTGATCAGGCCCGCCAAGTGGTCCTCTCCTGCCTCCCTCGACTCAATACTCGTCCAGGTTCCTCTCGAAGAGCTCTCTCGCCATGAGGGTCTTCTCTCCCGTCGGGTTGGTGACGGCGATGCTGCTGGTGAGTGCCGACCTTTGACCTGCCTTCCCATGCTTCCACTCTTGCCTATTGATTGCACAGCCACGTATATGTCAATATGATGATATTATATAATACTGATGCGTCTTCATGGCTCCACTTGCTTTGCAGTGCGCCTGGAGCGATGCCAGTGCAGGATAAGCACCGAAGAGCAGGTGGGTGTGAAGCTGGGCACCGTGCCCTGGCAGTTATGAGGCTCTTAAAAGATTCAACACACTAGCTGCACCTGCGGATTTTCAACATTGTTGTTACGGGTTTTATGCTGTATATCGATCAGTTAGTAAAAGGTAAATATTAAATTTACTGTAGTTTAATGTGTAAATTTACTTTGCCACTTCCTTAGAAGCAATGTATAATTTTTCAGGTTTATTGGATTTCGTCAAGTGACACTGAACCCAGGTCAGGCACAGACTTACCCCAGTGGAGGTGTTGGTCCACGTCAGGTGACACTGAACCCAGGTCAGGCACAGACTTACCCCAGTGGAGGTGTTGGCCCTCGCATGGCACCACATTTTGAAAAACAGAGGTATTTATGCTTTCTGTACATCCATGCAGCATTGTTCAACGCATCTCAAAAGTAACTTAGTCGCATATATATTGTATATATTAGATAGTATATATATATATTATTTATATATAGTATATATAGTGGTACCATAGCCATATATTATAATAACAATAATAAATATTATATAATAATAGTAATATAGTATACACTTATTATTTATATTTATACATCTCTATAAGTATATCTTAGTTTCTACCTCTACAAATATTACCATAGTTTTATTGTTATTACTCGTATGTGGGATGTATATGATCGATATAATAATACCGATATTATGATACTAGACTCACTCTAGTCCAGATCCAAATCTTCATGCTGTCATGTCTGTCGGATGTGTTGCAATCATAATCTTGTTTACTCTTATCATTCTTACTTTTGCTAAATCTTAGTAATAATTTCATGGATATATATTAATATACTCAGTATTGTGTGTGGTGTGTAGTGTGTGTGCAAATTAATCGATTAGCATACGACTCACGCACTATTAATAATATAACATCTTCAGGCTCTTCTAGCTGATACGCTGGGTAATGTCGGATTCGTTATACCATTACGTTGCGATCTCATGTTTCTTCTTCAAGAACTTCAGTTCAAAGAAACTTACCCAATAACTACCTTCGTTCTGGGGGTAAGAAGAGTAGCCTGGGTGATATTCAGTTCATTGAAGTTCTTTCCTAGAGTGCGAGACATTCCCGTAACTGTCAGTGCCCATCTCTTCACTCCTTTCCATTCTTTCTGACCCTTTTGTCCTAAATGTCTTCAACTGCTGTGATCGCTAGTTTGGATTTCTTCAAGCTGCTGGTATGGCGACTACCGCGTCTAAATTTCCTTATTTTCTCAGTACTTCTCGCGACTCCCCACACGCTCGAACGCCCATCGAGTGTCGTTCACCGTTTCCCCGCAACGCTGAACAGTCGAAAGGACTGCAAAGATACATACGGACTTTAACCCTTCGCGTCCACGCATTCCCTCCTGCGCTCAATTAAGAAAGAGTAAATACCGTTGACTGGTTTCGGTGTTAACTGGCATATTCTACAGAGAAGGAGAGAGGTCTTTTGCATATTAACCGCATATTTCTCGGTGTTCTTTGCGGTACTGCGGCTGTTCAGGGTTCTCTCGAGCATTGTGGTCTCGATAAACACTGCTGCCACCCCCTGGGAACAGTTACTTCGGGGTCGTTGTTCCTCAAGGCAAACCAAGACGATCCTCACACTCACACATGGATTTCAATGCATAGGCGTGATCGAAGGAGCTTTCTGTCAGGACTGAACCATTTCGTCACTACCTTCGCTCAGTAACCTGAGGAAACATTGGAAGTCTTGCAATAGGGAGTCTGCTTTATTTGCAAACAATTTCCCAATTCCGCATAATGTCTTCTCTTTGTAATATCCTGTACAGTGCCAGACTCCCAAACAACAACTGTAGACCCTGAGCCAACTTCAGAATGCAGTATGTATTTACCCTTCCTCTTTGCTCTGATAACGGAATATCCAGAGTTGAATAATAAAAATGAAAACGTCCATGTAAAGAGTTGGAAATCCATGGCTTCACGACCCACAGTATGACACACAAACGTCTTTCCCGTAGCTGGATGTGGACAAGTCAACCGTGCCAACCGCATTGTTGGTGGAGAAGAGACGGAGGTGAACGAATATCCCTGGATGGTTTCTCTTGTCGACGGCAGTGGATACTATCACTTCTGTGGCGGTTCTATCATCTCCAGCCAATGGGTCGTCACTGCAGCTCACTGTGCAGTAGGGTAAGTAGGGTAAGATCCTATTGAACTAAAAAAAGCTCTTATTCTCTCAAATCCACTTCTCTCTTCCCTATTATTATTGCAGCATGACCACCTCGGATTATGTGCTGGTGGGAGACCACAACCTGTACATCGGTTTCGAAACCAATTCTCAGTGGATGCAGATTGCTGAAGTAAGTTTAATGTCCTCACTTCATCACAGAACATGGGAAAAACTGAATCGTTTTGTCATTATTCTTCTCGACCTATATTTTCAAGATCAAACAACTAAACAATTGTAACATCCTTTGCAACAGATTGTGAATCATCCGTCCTATGATTCCAACACACTGGACAACGACATTGCCCTCATCAGACTCAAGACAGAGATCCAGTTCCCATCTGACAACAAAATCGCCCCTGTCTGCCTTCCAACTGCTGGTGAAATGTATGATAGTGTGGATGCCACAATCACAGGATGGGGAGCTCAACAGGAGGGTGGGTACTGATATTGGTGATAAGCCTTTTAAAGTTTTGTTTTATATCAGAGAATGATAACAAAAAACTTCCTACATTGACTCATACAATGCATTTAACAGGAGGATCCACATCGGGCACCTTGTTCGAGGTAACAGTGCCCACCATGACAAACACCGAATGCAATACCAAGTACGGAGGAAGCATCACTGACATGATCTGCGCAGGCATTCCTGAGGGAGGCAACTTGCCAGGTGTGTTCCGTCATTCATTCTTACCTTTAAAGTTACAATTTCAACTTTTCTTTTTGGATACGTGGCATTCATTCCTGTATATTTTACCCATTATATGTGAATGTTACAGGGAGACTCTGGTGGACCAATGGTGGTGGAAGAAAACGGCAAGTGGAAGCTGGTGGGAGTTGTGTCGTGGGGTTATGGCTGTGCTCGACCTGAGAGGCCCGGAGTCTACGCCAGAGTTACACGTTAGTGTTCAATTCTTTTGGAACTGGTTAACAGTTCTCAATAAGGCATAAAACACATCAATTTCTTTTAATTAAGGAGGTCCTTTACTTACAGTACTTTGAGTTTAATTATTAATCTTTCCACGTAAGGAGAGATATTTACAGGAAATGCTAAATGGTTCTGTTTCCTTCTCTTCAGAATACCTTGACTGGATTTCGACTTCGACCGGAGGTGTCTGCCCAACCGCTGGTTAA